ATGATCTGTGGTTCTTTTCTTGATATGTACTTTGTGGTGTGGAATGAAAACTGCAGCTCCTGTTCATCCAGTATCAGGGTCCTTTGACCCATCAGTGAAAATCATTGTTTGTCTGAGAAGTGTTGTTCCAGATATGCTGAGCTACCCTCTCCAGGGAGGGTAGCTTACTCCTTTTCTTCAGTTGTTGCTGTATTTCTAGGTTTACTGATGGTTCTACAAATAGCCAGGGAGGAGTATGTGAATATGGGATTGTCAGACTTAATTGTATGACCTAAACCTGCTTGTTCTGCCTTTGTTACCTATCAACTCCTCCATCACACCAGCAATTGAAAATTGCTCACGTAAAGCAGTGTTAGACAGTGTAAGGCAAGCTCATTTGTTATTGAACTACTGTTTGGTTCTACATACCAATTAGCTGCTGAGGCTAAAATTTCAAGCTGCTGTAACACTAACATGCTGTGCAAGTATTAGCTACAAAATAACCAAGACAAATTAAGACAAACCAATTTATTATCAGGTCATTTAGTAGAATGAGCAGTCACCTGGAACCTGCAAAAGAATGAATTAGTGAGTCAGTTGATCAATGGACTTTAAAAAAAAAAAAAAAAAAAAGTGAATTGTGTCTTACCAGAGGGTCTTTAGAAGCCACCCTTGGTTGGAGCTTTAGCAGGACTATGTGGCTTAGAAGTTTTGCTAATGCGTCTGGATACTGGCATGATCTGGGGAACAGGCTCTTCTGGGCTGTAGCGGGTTTGAGCAAACACTGCTCTTCCTCTCTGGTAGCTTGAACGTGAATTGAAGGAGTAGACTGGCTCCAGATCAGACACGTCACTGAAGACCGGCTCAGAGTTTTCGTCACCACCATCATAGCTGTTAGCAGATCCAGAGCGCCAGCTTGGAGCACTGTTGTCATAGCCATACCGTTCATCCCCAGAACTAGCATAGCCACCATAAAACGCATTACCGGCAGCCATGTTGGCACCGCTGTAGTATACTGGAGAGCCACTGTAACTGCCAGCCCCAGCACTGGAAATGGCATCTTGTGGAGCAGGAAGTTCAGCAGCTTTGTCAGAGCTTGGGTTGGATAGACTTGGTTGAGGGAAGCTGCTGCCTGAGTCCGAACTCACCCCCATTCCACTGTACCCATACCCATAAAAAAATGGCAGCCGCATCATGGAGCTTGGGTCAGCATTGTTTGCACTAAATTCTGGAGAGAGAAAAAAAAAGCCAGCTTACTTAGTAACCATTCATATAAAGCTGTTAGTATCAAGCAAAATACAGAGCCTCTTAACAAACAAGTTATTTTAATTTGATGGAGACAACAAATCTTACTCTTTCCCACAGGGCCACAGGTGATACTTCCAATCAGCAGGCATGAAATCCACAAAACCCTGCAAATACATTTCAGTTTTAAAACCAAAGCATTTACAAGTTGAACAAATTTAAGCCTGTAACTTACTTACCTCATTTTGCAATTAAATGATCAGTTCTTGATGGAGTTCCAGTTGATTTGTTACCTGTCACCAGGACACTACACAAATACAAAACAGGTACGTTCTAGTTAGGGGTGTGCTACCTACAGCTCTTCCTAACAACAGCTTGTCTGTAATGTCTTCATGAGCTAAGAGCTGCTTTTAAATGATTCTCAGTGCTGGGGGAACTGATTGCTCAGTGATAACAGCTGGTGGTAAAGGACACAAGGGTGTAGTCAATTGACCTCCTTGTTGAGAGGAAACAACGGATGGACATGAGCATCTTGATGGGTGTCTTTGCCAGAGGGTGTAGAAGATCCAGTACCACCAATTACCCTAAAGCCTCCTACACTCTGTGAGATTTTAACAATCTAGGTTTGGTGAAGCTTCACTGTGCAACATGGATCTGATAAACCTGGGCATTCCATCAAGTTTGATATATGCAGACTGTATGATTACAGTGCCTACTGAATCGCGGGCTATGTTGTACAATGTTTTAGCTTCCCATACTGAATGGACTTTGGCGCCTTTTGCCTCCATGGCAAGCTGCTATCTAGTCTGTTTGTTTCGGTTTAGTGCCAGTGCATTATTTCATGCTGCATTTCTATTGGTTGGTTAGTAGACAAAGGTCATAAGAGCAGTCACACTGTGAGACCACATCCCAAATTTCTGACATTCTGACATTCTGACAAATTTCAGAGCCACAACCATCCCCACATTTCTCTCACACTGGTCTTGGACAGCCCAAAATTGCACAGTGTATACCGGGCTTAAGCCCTAAACTCTGAATCCACACAAACATCACTTGGCATCACCAGTGATTATCCTTAAGTGCTTGATTGAGTGATGGTACCTTGGGGCTGAAAAGCTGTATAAGGAATGAGAGAGCAGAAGTTTTTCATTCCTGGCCAGTAAATTTTGAGGTTCATATTTTACACGTAACATGAGTGTGTCTTTCTGGCTTTCAGAAATGCCCGCCTCAGTCTTTAAGTCCATATGATGAAGAGAGGGACCTTGCTGAGGAACCTTTAAAAAATGATGTTTTAATGCTCATGACACCAACTGTGGGAAATCGATGTCTAAATAGTCAATGCTCTCTGACATTTTAATTAAGCATGATGAAATCATACAGATGTTCACTCTGTGCTTCAGGACAAAACTGTAGAAAATGACACCTACAGTATGTTCTTTCTCTCTTTCTTGGCAGCAAACTCCATCACAAAATCAGTGCATTTAGAAGTTGCCAGAAGTATATGTTGGCATTGTACGTTTCTGCAAACCACAAATCAATTTGTACGTTTTATATGAAAGATACTATATTAATGTTTCCAAAGTGATGTAATATATGAGCTGACTTTGTCATCTGGAGGTGGAGAGGACTGATGGGTGGCTTGACACCTGCAGACCAGTGGTGTAGTGGAGGGTATACACAGGTAGCCTATATGGGAAATACCAACCTCTTTTTTGGCAGTACACCCACCTATTATCAAAAGCCACTGGAATATATAGGAGTGTATACCCACTTCCACCTTGGTAACCTACCTATGTACCTACTAGTACACCCACTTTTAATTTTCAACTAACTACACCTCTTTTAATTATCTACCTCTACACCACTACAGCAGACCACTGTTGGAGACCAACAAACAACAAGACCTGTTGTTTTTCAGAAAGTTCACTGCATTTCCAGTGGCTTTTTTTGGGTGTTTTTAGCAACCTGTTGCCATATTTCCAGAGGGGATAGTGCTACGAAAAGTGGTTGTTTTTTTACAGAAACTTCTGTGCCTTCACAGTGAGGTTTGTGCCACCAAATCAAGTGTTTTAAGCCGAAACACGATCTCTTCCATAACCAAGTGTTTTTGTGCCTAAACCTAACCATACATTATCCACAGCATTGTTGAATCGTAACGTTATCTGCTACAAAATAACATACAAATGTGAAGTATGCATGCTTTGCAGAAACATACTTTGCCAACATTTATTATGACAATGGGGTTTCATCTTTGATACAACAACCTTTTCAATAGATAGACCTGCTAGTACTAAATGCAAAGCACTGAGAGGAGCTTCATCAGTCACTGTTGAATGACATCATATAAACAATCAACTGTTCAGTCACAGCTTGGTATGGCATGGTAATGGCTGGGTCCTCGTGTCACAAAACTCTCCCCATGTTGTGGCATGTTTGAGGGTTCTTAATGGAATCCCTTAAATTTGATTCACAGTTATTTACAACCACCACAGGCCTCCAGTCAAGGGTGAAGGAAACACTTGTAGTCCTTTGAATTTTATATTTCCCCATAAGAAAATCTCAGATCTCAAAATCTCAGATCTCAATCTCAGGAGTGAGGTCTATAATTAACAGAAATAATACAGTTTGTGCATTTCCTCCAAAATCCCAACAGAGGTCACTCTATGGTCGCCATAAAACTGGTAAAAAACTGGGGACAACCACCCATGGCAATCCTGTTGTGTGATGATATAAAATGCTTTACATAACTTAGATGAATAACGAACTATAACTAAATAATATTTCTGTGCTAATGGGAACAAGTATATTCTGGTGGTTGGCACAGAACAGGGCGAAACACACAGGCACAATCCAACAGTTAAGTTAGAATAATTATCACTATTATTATGTATAATATCATATTAAACCATACTATATTATATCAGGGGCAGTGGGTGTAACTTAATTATTTGGAATACTGGAAATTAATGTATATACAAGTAACCCCAAGACAATTGTTTATTTATGCTGCATTGTGCTATTGTCACATGTTTCAGATCTGAGAAATCAGATAATTAAAAGTCATTAAAGTATAAAGTTAGCAAGCATGGAGTATAATGCGAGGCTGGAGGGCTCAGAGCCCTGCCTGGGCTGCTCCAATTTCTGAATATGGCCACTGGCTCTGGAAAAGGCTTTTGCTGATCCTGTCAGCTTGCTACAAAGAGTCATTCAAGACTTTGGGTTGTTTGGAGGTAAGCAAGATGATCAAAATAACCTGATCATTTGCACCAAGTTTTTTCGCGTCTGCCCAATGATATTTAACACCCTACAGTAGGGGAGACTGGAGATAGCTGTAACGTGATAGATGTAATAATTTCAATTTCTCCAATCGGGAATGAGCTACGAAGTACCGTGAATCAGGTAATTCGTAGTTCATTCCTTGCTCAGTTTAGTCCTTACTTCAATGTGTGAGGAAGTAACAGCCAAGTTTATAAGGAAATACTTATTGAGGTAATAAGTTTTTTGTTCATTTGTTTATTTTACTTCATTTATTTTTGTGATATCATTGCCTGCTTCATAGTTAAATAACACATTTAATATGTGTCTCTGAATACATCTCTCATAGAAGTTGTGAGTGCTAATGTTTAAACACTTAGCTGTAAGGTAAGCTAGTTCATGGCTACAAGAGTCTGGGTTTGTTGTAATATAAGAAAATGTTACAACCTATCCCAGAGTTTAACCACTGTTACTGACAGTGACTAACATACTGGCTCATCTATTCATCTGTTTTCAACTTCTCATCCGAAGCTGGGTCGTGGGGGCAGCAGGCTGAGCAAGGTATTCCAGACACCCCTCTCCCCAGCAACACTTTCCAGCTCCTCCTGGGGGATTCCAAGGCGTTCACAGACCAGACGAGATAGGTAATCCCTCCAGTGTGTTCTATGTCTGCCCTGGGGCCTCCCACCAGTTGGACGTGTCTGGTACACCTCCAGCAGGAGGCACCAAGGAGGCATCCTGATCAGATGCCCAAGCCACCTCCGAGCTCCCTCAGGATGTCCAAACTCCTTACCCTATCTCTAAGGCCGAGCCCAGCCACCCTTCTGAGGAAACTCTTTTCATTTGTATCCACGACCTCATTGTTTTGGTCACTACATGGCTCATGACCGTAGGTGAGGGATGGGACATAGATGGACCAGTAAATCGAAAGCTTTGCCTTCTGGCCCAGCTCTCTCTGCACCATGTCAGTCTGGCACAGTGCCAGCATCACTGCACACGCTGCACCAGACCGTCAGTCTATATCCTGCTTCATTTTACCCTCACTTATGAACAAGACCCCGAGATACTTGAACTCCCTTGCTTGGCGCAGTAACTCACTCCCAAACCAGAGGGGGAAACTTACCGTTTTCCAGCAGAGAACCATGTCCTCAGAATTGAAGGTGCTGGCTATCATCCTGACAGCTTGACACTCCACTGCAAACTGCTCCAGTGCATGCTGGAGGTCATGGTGTGATGAAGCCAACAGAACCACATCATCTGCAAAGAGCAGAGGTGCAATCCAGAGGTCCCCAAACCGGACCCCTTCCTCCCCCCCGTTGAGCCTTGAGATCCTGTCCATGAATATCACAAACAGAATCGGTGACAAGGGACAACCCTGACAGAGCCCAGCACACACTGAAAACGTGTTTGACTTTGTGCCAAGCATGCGGACACAGCTCTCATTTTGGTTATACAAGGACCAGATAGCTTGTTGCAGTGACCCTGGTACCCAGTATTCCCGCAGTACCCCCCAGAAGACTCCCCATGGGAGGTAATCGTAAGCCTTCTTGGAGTCCACAAAGCACATGTAGACTGTATGGGCAAACTCCCATGACCCAGCTACATTTCGCCAAGTTGCAATTACATAAATGTCTCAAAATGTCTCATGTATCATTGTATAATGTATACATGTATAATCAATATTGGGGAGTAACTAGTTACATAACTTGTTTCATGTAATTAAATTACAAATAATTGTAACTATAATCACTTACAGTTACTGGGGAAAATATGTAGTTAAATCACAGTTACCAGTCAAAAGGTTGGTGATTACAAAGGGGTTACATCCGAACATATTCTCTTTAGTAAAAAGTTCATATGTAGAATATAACATTTATTTTATTGCTTTGCATCTTTTTGCCTTGCAGCAATATCTCCTCTTGGCATAACTTATTTCTGGAAATTGTTCAGCTTTATTGCACAGTTGTTACATTTGCAACATTTGTTAATCAAATATAATAAGTTACATTGTTTTGATGAATAAATTAGAATAGTTACATTACTCATTACATTTTAACTGGTAATCTGTAACTTATTATATATTTCAAAAGTAATCTTCCCAACACTAATCATCATCAACCATTGTTTATTCAGGGAAAATTGTCTGAGCATTAAGCACTTTTACAGCAATGCCCTGAGTTACAGTAACATTCAATGGACTAGAAGGATACAAATATATAATTGCAATATGATACATTATACCATCCTAAAGGAAAAAAGTCATAACAAGATCTCTTCGTTGTCCAGCCTATTTGTCCTAGACATAACTGAGATTAATATAACATCATTATGAGATTTGACCATTTTCTCATACTTCTTAAATTTAAAAAAAAAGCCTTGCTCTTGTCTCAGCCTGATCCTCGTTTAGGATCTAAATATGCTCATTTTCTTCTCTCACTGCAGTAATCTATTTGTCTCAAATAATCAGCTCTTTAGATAACAGTAAGATCTTAAAGGAAACTTGACTTGGCTTATAAATGAGCTGGCACAATTTCAGGAATTTGTCTCAGTGATCAAATTCAAGTCTGAACTCTATGTTTTTTATATGTTCTCAGAGCTGCGAAACCTTCACGAAGTCTATGAGCACAGCAAAATAACTCCTGCTGATTTATTCTTTTCCTTCTTTCTCCTGAGGGGGGATTTAGGAGAAACAGATCAGAATTTAGTCATCTCCAAATAAGAAGCTGATATGATGAGACAAAGAAACAACTATCGTGAGCAGCAAAATTTTCCTTTGGGATTATGATAAATAATACCGGAACATCGTACACACCTACGTGTGTAGTTGAGTGACCTGTATATAATCTGTATGGTAAATTGCAGTTGAAGAATTAAAAGACTAAAGGGCTCATTTCAAGATGCAGGATTAGTTAGTGAGCGAAACTAGGGATGCACCGAATATATTCGGCCGAATATTGCAAATAAACACACATTCGGTATTCGGTGGAATAAGTGAAAAGCAAGGCCGAATAATAGCAGCGTGTTTTGATAACGCAATCAAACGGCGTGCGGTGACAGACGGAGTAAAATGTCGGCAGTGTGGCGATATTTTACTCCGTCCATCACTGCACTCGCATTTGCGACTAAAAACAGTTTTGTTCGAGCAAAATAAATCATTCAGCACGCTGTGCGAGCAGCCTACGGATTTCAACCAGCAGCAGAAACGAAAGGCGAATCCCGCTGGTTGTGGGTTGAACGGGGTCACAGACATGGACAGGAATATATTCCTGTCAAATACGGCGGCCATCGGCTTACCCGGCGACGGAGAATTCGGCTCCAATAATATCCTATTCTTGGCGTCATGACTACCCAAAAGTACCTGGACAGCCAAGCCGTGTCAGAGGAGAAACGAGCCATTCACATTTCTCTCTTTCTGGCAGTAACGGTCCACAAACCTCTCCGCACTTTAGGGACTGTTCTTTACTTATGAAGGGACTGTTCTTTACTTGTCAGGGGAGGAGGGTGGCTGGTTGATTTTTATTTTATGTTTTTGTTTTATTTTGATCCCCCCCTATGTTAATCACTCATTGATGCTGTTTTTGAAGTATGAATAAGTCAATAAGTAATTTATTCCTTCGAAATATCATTGATGTATTATAGAAATTGATTTATCTTTTTATAAATGACAAAAGGCACATCTGCCTAATTTTTGCTGTGGTATCGTGATACTACTCAGAACCATGATATTTTCACTGGTATCGTACCGTGGGTCCCAATTTTGGTACCGTGACAACACTAATCTGGAGAGGGTTCATCTGCAAAAACTAATGAAAAACTAAACAACGGTATTCAGTACTCGGTACTCGGTATTTGGCCAAGCATTTAATTTTATTCAGCTTCGGCCACAAATTTTCATTTCGGTGCATCCCTAAGCGAAACAAACCGGCAAAATGTTTTTGGGCTGTCCATCCGTCTGTCCATCCCTCCTGTGTGTCCCATTCTTGTAAATACGATGTCTCAAGAATACCTTGAGGGAATTTCTTCAAAGCTGGCACTAATGTCCACTGGGACACAACAATCAACTGATTAGATTTTGGTGGCCAAAGGTCAAATGTCAAGGTCAATGTGACCTTGCATCCATCTCATTCTCATGAAGGCAATATTTCAAGAACACTTTGAGGGAATTTCCTCAAATTTGGCACAAACGTCCACTTGGACTCAACAATGAACTGATTAGAATTTGGTGGTCCAAGGTCGAAGGTGACCGGCTCATAAAACATGATTTTGGCCATAGCTCAAGAATTGATATGCTAATTATGACAAAGGTTCACATAAATAAACAAGCTTTGTTTTGATACCTTTTTTGCACCCATTCACCCAAGTCCCTAAAAAAAGTGAATCAATTTATTTTCATTGTAATTAGAAAATGATTGGTGGGCCACCTGGCTCCCTATTGTGAGCCAGAGGGCCATAAATTGTGTACCACTGCTGATGGGAATCTGCTCAGCTAAAACACAGGATTACTTACTAATATCAGTTAAATGAGAATAATGGCCAGCAAAACAAACAGGGGACATGATCAGTTGAGCTAGATCCAATTCAAATTTGTTATGCAGGTTGTTGTTTTTTTAAGCTGCATGGAGGTATCTAGGCTTGGTTGCTCAATCATAGATTTTTTTTCTTCAAAGCCTTCTTACATGGAGTACCTTAACTGAGCCTAAGATGCAAGCTGATCAAGAAGGCCAGCTCTATTGTGGGATGCTCTCTGAGGACTAATGAGTCCCATCCTCTGCAGGAGGAGATAAAAGCTCTGGAGAACTCCTTCAGTGATAAACTGATTCACCTAAAGTGTGTGAAGGAACGCTATCGCAGGTCCTTCCTGCCTGCTGCTGTCAGACTACATAACCAGCACTGCTCACAGTAAACTGCACCATGGACACTTTATTGACACTTTATGGACACCACAGCTGTCTGCTGTTTTGCACATACAGTCACTTGCACTAGATGTGCTCCCTTTATCCACTGCTCATTTTTGTTCACTGCTGCTAGTTTTTTAAGTTTTAAGTTTTTAAGTTTAAATTTTGAAATCTTTAATCTGACTCTTTCCCCTTAACTGCTGTAACACTGGAATTTCTCAGTTATGGGATCAATAAAGGTGTATCTTATCTCTATCTTATCTTATGCAGTGTTGAAGTCTAAATTACAGAAAGTGCTACATTCACAGTCCTGATGACTTACTTCAGTCTAGATGGTAGCCTAACTTCTAACTTGCATACACTGTAGAGACTATAATGTGATGGGTGAGTTAATTTTTGTATAATTATATAATTTTCTACTGTTGGGTTTTGCAAGAATTGAGCTAAGAGCAAATCATTGTTCTTCACCAGAAGCTCTAAGACCGTTAAATATCTAGAGGCTGCTTTGTTTAAATATGTTCATGTAAAAACTGAACTGAATAACCTACATTGTAGCTCGACTCGTGTGGGACGTGGTATGACACTGCTCCCAGAGCCGTAGAGCAGACGGCTCTGACTGCTCCCAATCGGAAACGTGACACAGCTCTTCACCAAGGGCTCTGTCGCTACCATTTGCCAATAAACCAATCAAAGTTGTTCCGTTTTGTAATTCATGTTGACGTTTTCCCGTTTGCCCAATCAGCGAACAGAAACAGGGATAATAACACCACTCGCACAGCGCTCAGGCCACGCCCCCTCCGTGTTGCCTTTCGTTTGACAGCAAATGAAGTTTGTCGGGAGTCTACTGAACTGTGACTGTTTTAGCCTTTAAACCAGCGCATTTTTGGCTTCATTTCGACCGATACTTCTGGATTCTTCTTTAATGATGGAATAAGAAGTCAGCATGGTGGTGAATTCAGTGCACTGGTTTCGCAAAGGTCTGCGTTTGCACGATAATCCGGTGTTGCAGGAGGCCCTTAATGGAGCAGACACAGTGCGCTGTGTTTATATCTTGGACCCGTGGTTTGCTGGCGCCGCTAACGTGGGGATCAACCGATGGAGGTTTGTGATTTAACTTTATCTGTTGCACGCTACTTTTTATTAAACGCAAGCTGTACATGACGCATTATGTAAAGACAATCTATCAGGTCGCCATTTGTGTCATTCCTTGCCTTATATATGTGTAGCGCTTGGAGTTCGGGCTCGGGCCTCCACTCCACGTCAGTAAGCTAACGCTAGCTTAAAATGGAGAGAATGCTATGCCAAACCCCGTAGAAGAATGCATCAAATTAATGTTGTATTGTAATGCTAACGTTATCCCCGCCGAGAAGAAGAGCATTTCTGTATGAAATCAGTAACTGAATTGTGCTCTGGTATATTCGGTATAAACATGAAATACTAACGTTAACTGTTAAACAACTGTTACAGTAGGTTAACAACAAAACTCGAGCTAGGTCTGCTGTTACAGAGAAAAACAGAACGTTATGCTGACTATCGTTCAATTTACCTGCTTGAGTTAGGTGAAAGAAGCCGAAAGAAGGTCATGGTAGTAGCACGCACATAATGGCTTATAATGACATTTTATAAAAGCAAGTACTTGGTTTTGAATTTTGTACACGACGAATGGCGCAGTGGGTGGGAGTGCAGAAAGTATGTCAAGTGTTCTGTTGTGTTTACCTTTGCGGCCGTCAAGCAAAGCGCCACAGGTCAGACTTGGTGAATGCGTGTTTCAGGTAACATTTACGAAGGTTACCCTTAGTACATTTCTGTGTTAGTTTGTATTTAGATAATTAAGGAACACATTGCGAAAAACATAATATATTTGTCATACAACATGGATGACATACTGTAGGCTGTGCTGTTTTACTGACGACTAAACGATCAATGTTGAGAATGATACGACATGATGCACAGAAATGGAATTAATATATCAAGTTTACCTGAATTCTTTTGTCTGGGAGCTCTACAGATAGTTAGACTTCTTCAAGGTGAAGTCTATGGGGATTTAGTGCAAATTGCAACCAATGGAATCTTCTTCTGGTTACAATATCTCATTGTTCAGGTTTTTTTATAGTCTTTTCCTCCCCAAAACAAATAGACTGGGTGATTTAAAGAGGTAGAAACACTGAATAAAGCAGTTTCATGTTACAAATCAATATTTATCTGATGCTGTTTGGCATGCTGGAGAGGAGAGGCTTGCCCACGAC